GCCTGACAGCGCAGGCCGAACCTTGGCCACATCTCAGCAGTGGAAGGTCTTGGACAGGATGCTGGTGCTCAGAAGCCATCACAGGACAATCTTAAAGGAGCTGCATGGGGAAGGAGGGAGTTGGCATTGGGGCTGGGGATCAAACCCAGGGCCCGACACGGGGTTAAACATGTATACTCCACCACTGAGCTACACTCTAGCCCGTGTCGGGTTTTCTGAGAGAAGGTGCTGCAGACCTTACCAGTCACACCCACTTCTCTCCTGGGACTTTTTTCCTTTTGGTCCCCCTGAGACAAGTTCTAGCTGACCTTGTGCAGACCAAGCGGGCCTTGGATCGCAGCAGTTCTGTCTTCTCTGTGCTGGGGTCACAGATCTGCACCACCACAGTTTTAAGGTTCTCGTACGAGGGGCTGGAGATGTAGCTCAGTAGACTGCTTGCCTAACATGTTTGAAACTCTGGGTTCAATCCTTGGCACCACATAAATGAGGCATTCCAGCACTCAGGAGGTAGAGGAAGGGAGACCCCAAGGTCAACATTTAGGCTAGGTGTGGTGGCGTGCAACTTGAACACTAGCACTAGGGAGGCAGAGGCAGCTGGAGTTTAAGGTCAGTCTCAGCTACATGAGACCCTGTCTCAAAACAACAATAATAGAGCGGGCTAGGTCCCTAGTGTGTCCCCTCTGGAAGAACATTCTAAAACACCCCTGTAATAATATCCCAGAGTAGATGGTACTCAGAATGCAGGGGCGCTCCGGTCACACCTGGCAAAGTCTGGTGAACGAGAAATGACGTGCTGGAACTCGGAGAGATTGATGGTTCCATCCCTGTCAATGTCCGACTCTTCCAGGATCTGGAGAGGGAGGGGCGGGCGGACGTTAGGCTTCAGCGCCAACCCTCCCCCCCCCCCCCCCCCGACCCAGCACCCTCAGGCCCAGCCAGGAGTCAGCTCACGTTGTCGATAAGCTGCTTCATCTCAGAAGCACTGAGCCGTGTGTCCTCGCCCTCTCCTGTGAGACAGTTCACGAGCCGGCTCAGGTCTTCTCTGTCCAGGGTTCCATCATCATCAAAGTCTAGGCAGCAGACACAGGGAGCAATACAGACATGCGCAAAAGGTGTTCCACAAGCTCACCCCGACCCCACTTCCTGGGTAGGAAGGAGCGGGCTCCAGCAGTTCTTTGGGTACTTACCAAAGATGCGGAAGGCATAGTGTGACTTGATGTCTGGGGTTGCTGTGTCACTGAAGACACTCAGGAGGTCCAGGAAGTCCTCGAAGCTCAGGCTGTCCCTGGTAGGGGACGTGGAGAAGACCATGCAGATTCGCTCCTTGAAGGGGTTGGCCTAGGTAAGAAAGCCTTCTGTGAATGTCACAGGGTACTGCCTGGGTTACATGCTCGGCCAACTCAATCAGAAACTTGAGGGAGGGTCTTATAAACCCAGGCTGGCCTCAGTTCTCCTGTCTCTACCTCCCAACTGATGGATTACAGGCGTGTGCTGCCATGACTAAGTCCCTTCTGGAAACCTGAGGCAGCTGACTACAGTAGTGGCACCATATGGAGTTCAGGCTCGGAGGGGAGAAACTGAGGCCAGGACATGGAGGGTTCAGGAGGGACCACTAAGCCAGCCAGGGAAGGGGCAGAGATGCCCCCGGGGAGTCTAACTCAGGCTCATCACAACTGGAGTCACAGCAGGAAAAGGAAGGCATCCTGAGCAAAGCAACAAGATGAGCAGATTATTATTCTAAGCGTGCATGTGCACACGTGAGCACATGCCACCACACATGGAAGCCGAAGGATAACTTTCCATAGTCAACTCTCCTCTACCATAGGTTCCAGAGGTCAGACTTAGGTCCTCAGGCTTACAAGGCAAGTGTTTTTATCCTCTAAGCTACTTGGCTGGACCAAGCTGGTCATTTTTAAATATATTTAATCAAACAATTACTTTGTTACAGAGCCAGGCTCTTTGCATAGAAATTTCATAACAGATAGGTGTTATGGTCTTTTCATTACAGCACCAAGGAGGCAAAGTCTAAGAGTTCAAGGATAGCCTGGTTTACATAGTGAATTCCAGCCAGGCTAGCTGGGACTCCACAGTGAGACCCTGTCTCAAAATAATAATAATAGCTATTATTCTTATTCATAGTAAGATGGACATGGGGATGCATGCCTATAATCCCAGTGCTCAGAAGGCAGGAAAAGGAGGGTTGAAACAAGTTCAAGGTCAGTCAAAGCTGCAAAGTAAAACCCAGATCAGAAAAAAGAAGTGGTGGGGTGCTTGCCATGTCAACATAAAGACCTGCGTTTAATCCCCAGAGCTGCTGTTTTTAAAAAGAGGAGAGGGCTGGAGAGATGGTTTAGAGGTTAAGAGCACTGGCTGCTCTTCTACAGGTCCTGGGTTCAGTTCCCAGCAACCACATGGTGGGTGGCTCACAACATCTCTAGTGGATCTGTTGCCTTCTGGTATAAAGGTATACATGCATATAGAACACTCATATACATAAAATAGATACATAAATCTCAAAAAGCAAAAGATGACTCGGTGATTAAGATCCTGCTCTGTTCTTGTAGAGGACCCTAGTTCTGTCCCTAGCACCCATGACAGGCAGGCAGCTCACAGCTGCCTGTAACTCCAGCACTAGGGGATCCAACGCCTTCCGTACTCCATAGGCACTGGCACTTACATGTGTACAGACCCACCCACAAACAATTACGCATCATCATCAAAACAAACCCAGGGTGTGGTGGCACATGCTTCCAACCAATCAGAATGGCAGGAAGAGTTAGGGACTGTACCAGAGACAGGGTGGCTAGAGGGGGTAGAGGGTGGAGTGGACGGAGGACTGAACCTTGAGCTCTGGAAGGCTGAGAATCTGCTCGGATGACACTCGGATCTGCAGCGACTCCTCCACGCTCCGATGCTCCGGGGGAAGCAACTCACAAAACCGCCTGTGGGCTCTGGCAGAGAGAGGGGAACTTACTGGTGCCTTGGAGCAGCTCAGTCTCCCTGTGTTCCCTACATTCCCATTCCACATTTTGAACGCCATGTAAACTGGGTGTATGACTAAGTCGTCATGTAACCAGAACTTCAGTCACTGGGCAACCTTCAGTCAAAGAGAGGGAAGTCAGTCACAGCATAGCAGAAGCTTGGGTGGGCTCCCATCTTAAGGTGGGTATTTGTGGAGGGGGGAATGCATGGAATGTGTGTGTGTCTGACACTCTCTGTAACCGTTCTGGCAGGAAAAAGATATTCTAGAGAGATCTGCGCCTCTCCCTTTGGCTGTCAGACTATAGAATCAGTGGTCCTCAAGATATTAGAATTCCCCAGTAATCTCACATGGTAAGAAGGATGAAGCTTGGTATCAGCCAAGGAGGAAATATCTACCAGGAAGAGATTTCACACAGTTCCAGCAACTTGTCAGATCATCTTTCATAAGACAACAGAGCTGAGACAAGGATGGAGAGACCACATCTTGACCAGACTGTTTAGTTACACATACCTCCTGCCCTGTATTTAAATATAAACCTCACCTCACCTCGACATGAAGACTGACTTGGAGGGAGGGGCTTGTCACTGGACTTCTTTGTTCTTTTTCCCCAGTGTGGCCACATTGGATACATTTGATTTCTCTGCTTTTCAATACTGTCCCTTTAATTGACCTACTGAGGGCAGGTAGCCCAGCCTAGCTGGTTAGGACTACCTGTGGCCCAAGTTCCTGGACTATAACAATTACAGTAAGGATTTCAAAGATGCCTGGAGAACGGAGAGGTTAGGGAGGGAGCTATCAGTGACCCTAAACAACGGGGAGAAAAGAGCAACACTACGATGTCACTTTCACTCCAGGGACCCCCTTCTCTTCACCCACCACCTCTTTCCCAGTGGAATCTCATTGAAGAGACCAGGAACCTCCCTAGGTCAAGCGTCCTGGCCATCAAATTACTTACAGTGTGCTTTATACGCAAAGTTACCAGAACCCTCAGAACCTGTTTTCCTGTTCTGTAAACCTCCTCCTGAAGATTTAAGTAATGTGGGAATCACTCCGTAGCTCCTGGGCAGAGTAAGGGCTCAGTAAACGTTAACGGTTACTGTATTAAACAAGTCAAGTTGGGAGGAGAGCGAGCGAGGCTCCTCAAGGCTTCTTGTTTTTACCAGAGGGCAAAGTCCGCATAGAGCCACAGCTGTTCCAGAAGACAGCAGGAAGCTCGGCAAAGAGGAGGCTAGCAGGACTCAAACAGCCCAACTTTTCCTGGACACACAGAGGTATGCGTGGTGCAAAGCTAAGGCCCGCGCGCGGGCGAGACCTGCACTCGGAGCCTCCGGTTCCAGATCCCGCTGATCTTGATTTCCGTGAAACTCGGCCCCACCCTCGGAAGAGAGGTGTCCAGTCCGTTCCCCGCTAGGACAGCACCCCCCAGACCTCCCTGGGCAATCCCGCCGTGGAGGGTGGGAGTCGGACTCACAGGAGGATCTCCTGCTTGCTCAGGAACGTCAGGTCCTGAAAGGCAAATCCAGACAAGGGTCGGCAAGCCGCCGGCAAGCCACCGCCACCCCGCCGCCGGCCCCCGAACCCTATTCTCCGGCGCGGGCCCGCACGCGAGCTCCGCGAGAACTGGCGCCCCGCGCACCTGGTACTCGGCCAGCAGCTCCTTGGACAGGCGACTGCCCGAGCCTCCCATCGCCGCGGTGCGCGCCCAGCTCCGCCAACTCTCCCCGGGACTCCGGCAACTTTCTCACTTCCGTCCTCGGGGCCGCGTCCCCGCCCCGTCCCCACAGCAACCGCTGCCCGGACTCCGCCCCCGGGCCCGCCCCTGCGTACAGTGCCCCGGCACCCTCGGCACGGCTCAGCGGGCCAGCTCCCGGCTCCCCGCGGGCCCAGGAGAGCTGGAGGCAGGGCCCGGGGAGGAGCCGGACGCGCCGGGGCGGGGCCCAGGCCTCATGGCCCCGCCTCCTGGTGGGCGGGGCGGGCCGAGCCGCGCGCGCGTGGTGCCGACTGCGCCTGCGTCCGGAATACCACGCCCCTCGCTGTGTTCCGGGATGCGTCTGCGCGCAGAGCCTTGAGATGCATCCGCCTCGCCTAAAGCAGGTGTTGGACACCTCAGTCCTGGGAGGAGGTGAGTAACCTCCACATTTGCTCCCGGGCTGGAGGAGATCCGGTGCCCCGCTGCCGAGAGGGACAGTCCCAGACTCTTCCCAGACACGAGCTGCAGCCTCCACCACCTTGCCACCACCTTGCCGACCCTTCTAGAAATAGCTTAGCCTTTATGTGCATTGGGTTTTACCTCCTGAAGCTGTTTGCTGCGGACTCACTTGTGCAGTTATTCCCCATTCGTGGGACAGTTGACAAGGTAGGCTTCCATTTTACAAACATAGATCCAGTTTCAGTGATGTTTCCGGACTCGGGCGTTTAGAGGTCGGTCCTGTCCACCGATCCCCACTGCTGTTTTGTCGTCACAGCCGACATGCCTCCTTTGACCCAAAGTGCATGCTTCCAGCTCTAGAGCCCAAGGTTGGTCTGCCTATTTGCTCTTTTCTCCTCTTAACCTCTAGGACATTCAAATAATCACCAGATGCATGTACGAATGAGCAAATTAACACTGCGTGAAAAAGTGAGGGTTCTAAGCTGCTGGGAGGAGGAGTTAATGCCAGTGGTCAGCTTGATTGGGTCTGGAGCCAAGTAGAGGGCAACAGCGCTGGGCACTCCTGGGAGGGATTTTCGGTCAGATTCTTTGAAGTGGGCATGTGCACAGTGCCTTCCGGTGGTAGCCCATACAAAAGGAAGTGGAAGAAGGGAACTGCTTTGGGCCTGTTTGCCTTCGCCTGCTGATAAGTTCGCCCCTCCTGTTAACTGCCACTGTGGAATTCATTTGCTGACGTTAGAATCGGCCTCTTCAGCTTCCCACTCAGACTAAATAAAGACCAGCAGCTCTCCAGGAACCGTCCAGATTGGAATTGCTGAGACACCCATCCTTGTGGACTGAGCAACTAGCATTGTTTGTCTGTCCAGACCATATCGAGTAAACCAATCTAATAAATCCCCGTTTAGTATATAGTCATCAGTCCTGTTCCTCTAGTGCAGTGGTTTTCACTCTTCCTAATGCTTTGACCTTTTAATACAGATCCTCACGTTGTAACCCTCAACTATAAAATTATTTTTGTTGCTACTTCATAACTGTAATTTTGCTACTGTTATGAATTGTAATGTAAATGTTTGTGTTTTCCGATGGTCTTAAGGGACCCCTTAAGGGGTCGAGACCCACAGGTTGAGAATCACTACTCTAGAGTAACCTAACAGATTCTCTCTCTCTCTCTCTCTCTCTCTCTCTCTCTCTCTCACACACACACACACACACACACACACACACACACACCACTATAGTATATAAGCAAAAGACCAATAACGTTAAAAAAAAAAAAAGCCCAAACAAAGCATTATGAGACAAAAGGAATTCTCCCAAAATACTATTGAGTTTGTTTTGAGTTGGCCATCTACTGCTGGGCATGGGGCCTGCCATTGAGTATGGTTTGTATCCCCAGTGAGACTCCAGTGTATAAATTTATTCTTTTTATTGATTTATTTTTATTTTATGTGCATTGGTGTTTTGCCTGCATGTATGTCTATGTGAGGGTGTCAGATCTTGGAGTTACAGACAGTTGTTAGCTGCCATGTGGGCACTGGGAATTGAACCTGGGTCCTCTGTTGCTGGGGAGCTTCTCTCCAGGTTCCCCAAGCCCCGCAGTCCCACAATCCACTTATAAAATAATCACTCAGACGCTTGTATCACTTATAAACTGTATGGCCG